TGCCCCTCCATAAACGAGGGCGAACGGAGAGCCCCCTTCCTCCCCCCATTCCCCCTCTTTTTCTTCCCTCCCAGAGGTCACCTTCAGCAGGGAGGCAGCGTGCCCCCAGGACCAGAGACATGGGGAAGGGGCGGAGCGTCACGCTTAGCCCCGTAATGTCTGGCAGCCCCCTCCGGCTGCTCGGAGCAGGCTGAGCCCAGCCCAGAGGCTGCAGTGGTGGAGGGAGGCAGCCCACGGCCGGCCGGCAGCGCTGCGCTGCTGGAGAAGGTGAGAGGCTTGGTACGATGGGGAGGGAGCGTGGGAAGAGAAGTTACAGCTGTAGCAGGACAAAGGAGACAGGACAGACAGGTAAAAGAGCACCCACCCTCACTAACCGGTTTCGGAGACTCGGGTGTCGCGTGCTGGCACAACGTGGAGTGCACTCGTTTCCCACGTCTGGTTGATGGTGAGCTCCTTAAGTGGCTCTGCTCCGAGATGTTGCTTTGTGCCCAGTTGTGTCCAGTGCGATGGTGCCACGATACCGGCTGGTTGGTTGGGAGGAGGGTGCAATGCGGCTTGGTCTCAGCGAGATCGCTGCCAATTTCTGCCCGAGGAGGCTGCTGTGGGGAGATTGTGGTGTGCGGCTTGCTGGAGAGAGGCTTACAGGGCTCCCTCTGGGAAGGCTGCTAGGTGCTTCTGCCCAAGAAGGGCAAGGTCTGCTAAGGGGACAGTTATGCGGTTCCCCTCGGTGAGATCGCCTACTAGCCTGCTGACCAGTTTTATAAAGCAGCTCATAAATCTATCAGCAATAAGGCCAGAAACAACCACTGCGATAATCTGTTCTGATCTCTTGCCTATATTAGACGTGGTTTGCACTAGAGTGTAAGTTTCAGGGGAAAAAAAGAAAAAAAGTGCCATTCTTGAGTTAAAAGTCCCAGAGATGGAAGGATATTCTTCCATACAGTTTAATGAGATTTTTAGGAGCAAATATCCTTTTTCGCAAAGTCTGCACCGCAGCTGAGGTCTAAAATTACCTCATTTCAGCTTCGGCTATTGGTTTTATTATAATGCTTTTACTTAATTGGGAGAATGCTCTTTAGTGAGTTTCTAGTACTCATGAAGGTACACGCAGACGATAGAGCCGCTTCTTCACTATCTGTTTGATAAGCCAAGAATACCGCTCTCCTGGAAGTTCCCTCTGTAATTGTCAGCCCTGTTGTCATTCTCATGGCTCTTCTCCAGTCCTTTTTCAGCCAAACTGTGGACGCTAGCACTAGCGGTCTCACCGATACCATTAAAAATATAGAAAACATCCAACAGCTAGATCTGTTGACCCTCAGACATCAGCTGGCCTCCAAAAGAGTTCAGGATATTTACCCTAGAGAAACCCGGCTTTCACATCAGTAGATTCTTAACATTCTAAAAAAAAAACCATAAAAAAGTTGATAAATAATAATGCAAAGCAGAGCAAATGGAAGGAATGCATTTCTAATAAAAATACAAAATCCAGTGGTACATGATATTCTCAATTATAGCACAGAAGTTGTTAGCAGGTGGCCAGCTCTTCAGAAATACAGCTTTCCTAACTCAGCTGATTTTCAGAGATTAAATTTCAGACTGTCTCAGGGCATTTGCGTGTAGGAACCTCTGCAGAAACTAGAGTTCACTGTAAAAGGCACATCATCTCAGAACAGATCTCTTCTGTTGTTATAATCTAAATGACTTTATATAAAGCTCAATGGCTCTATTTTTTTGTTTTGTTTTGTTTATAGTGAAGCTTATATTCTTAATTTAGCATCTGGAAAATGATAGTTTGTCTCCCATTGCTGATGTTTCCTGCGTCTGATGCTTTTTGGGCATTCTCTTCAGCAGAGTGAATGCAAAAGTGGAATCTGCAACATCAGTAACCCTTGTACCATTATTCTCTTAGACTTGAATCTGTATCATTAAGATCTGTATCTATATCACTACAGATTTTTTTCTTGTGCAATTCCGTATCATTCTGTATATTAAGACCTGCAAAGGAAGTGAGGCTATACCAGATCTACGTTTCTGGGTTTACACAGTGCCCAGTTTATCTACAAAGCAGCATGAAGAAGTTAGATTCTTCTGATTAATATTACATTCCTTTCTTTTTTATTTTTGTCACTCAATGCTAGACGAAACTCCTGGCTTCTTTGATTGTTAGAAATGTTTTTGTATGTGTATATGTGCATGCACCAGTTTCATCAAGCAATATTTTAGTTTTATCAAATCTACGCAAACCCATTTTGTGTCTTTTGCAAATATTTTCTGGAGGATTTCACTGCTTTCTTCTAAATCATTGACAAATGTAAAAGTACTATAACAGCATCAGGATTTAACAAAATTAATCGTCTAGGGTGAGGACACCAATAAAAGATGATGATTTCAACTATACTGGGCTTATTTTTCAATCCATTATAAATATGTGGCTTATTGATTTTGACCAATGTCAGGATGAATTTGTACAAATAGCTTTCAGGGAACGATCAGTGAATGGGATGTTTTTGGAAGGTGCTGTACTTACCAATACCAGGCTGAGAACTGCTCCAAACCCCCACCAACAATTTAGAGATTGATGGGAAAGCCCTGCAGGTAGAGTCCTTACACAGCCCCTAGAGATAAATGAACACGATGGTTTGGTAACAAGAGACACCAAGTGATCCGAATTACTTGATACATTAAGTCCATTTGAGCAGAATGTGCTTTATTAAAGGCAATGGAAAGGTATTCAGGTAGAAACAAGGGAGCCAACATCCAGAAAGAGACTTGAAGAGTAAGTAAAGTTTTTCCAAAAAAAACCCCAGTAATTTGGAAAAGCTCTAGAGTCATAATGGATGCATAAGGTAGTGCAGCTTCTCAGTGTTGCGTTCCTTCAAAAAGAGATCTTGGAGTCACAGCAGGAGGCAGAGGGTAATCCTAGCTGAATGCCTTTCAGGAGACAGTCCCCCAGGAGCAGTTGGTCTTTTACTATGGGGGTCAGAAAAAATGGTGAGGCTTCAGAAAAGAGCCATAAAGTGGATCTGAGAGCTGGACAAAAGGCTGGTTTGAGAATTGTACAGAAAGTTGCTTGAAGGCATGTAACCGGTAAGAAGACTAAGAGGTGTCTCGATCAGAGAGTATGGAGATGTTTACTCAAAATTCAAAATCTGACTACAATTTCTGGAAGCATCCTGTGTGTTTTGAAACTAAAACTGATGTGGGCACTGCAGAAGCACAGTGTGCCAGATGGTTTGTGAAGGCTAAGTAAAACATTGCTTAAACATGTAGCCTGAGTTTCAGGCTGTACCCTGCTAGTTTTACTCAATCTGAGTAGTTTAAAATATATTCTCACAGTTGCAGTCGTACCTCTGATCACAGTGCATGTAAACCCTGAAACAGTCAGGAGAAATATAACAGGCACTAAAAAACTCACCCTTTTCTCTAGTTGAGAAACTTCAGCAGCAGGTTCAGTAAACTCAGATTAGGATATCATATAAATGCATAACAGCAAGAATGTTAACCCTGGCTTTTATAGTTGATCAAAGTTTGTCTTTGTATTAAACCTGCACAACTTTTTGTAAGAAGTGCCCCAAATGTTGTTGGTTTGGGTTAAAGTTCTGTAGGTCAGGCAGTAAAATGGACCCTACACACCATATGCTCAAGGCCATTTTTAATGGAGCATCTTTGATACGAGGAGAGTCTGAGGCAGCTGAAACTCTTCAGCCTGGAGAAGAGAAGGCTTAGAGAGGATCTTACTGGTGTATATAAATATCTGATGAGAGGGAACAAAGAACAGGGAGCCAGACTCTTCTCAGTAGTTCTCATGGACGGAACAAGAGACAATGTGCACAAATTTAAATACAAGGAATTCCATCTAAACAAAGAAAACAGTTTTTTGGTTTGGTTTTTTTTTTTCCCCAATGTGATGGTGGTCAAACAGTGTGATATGCTGCCCAGGGAGGCTGTGGAGTCTCCATCTGTGGAAATATGAAAAATCTGACTGGAGACCTTCCCAGATAATCCTGCGTCAGCTGCCCCTGCTTGAGCAGCAGAGTTGGATTAGATGATCTCTAGAGGTCCTTCCCAGCCTAAACACCTCTGTGATTCTGTCATCATAGCACCATCTCTATTATACAGAGATGACACTGTCTTTGGCTCTTGACATCTATGAAGTGCTTTCCTGGACCCAATATATTAATCATTTTGGTCAATGAACCAGAAGAATATTACCTAGACTAAGACACTGTATCTCCATAGGCTAACTCCTCCTCAGCTCCTCAGGAAGCCGGGAAGCATCTCCCGATGGTGGAAAGGACGTGAATTTCTTGCTGCTGTAATTAGACTCTTTTGGGCAATTAGGGTTTCCTCACACGTTGACAGCCTGGAATCAGGATGCCTTGTTCATTGTTGAACTCCCTACGGACTGTACTAACTTTAGCTGGTGTTGACTCTCACACCAAGCCAAAACCTTTGCAGAAAAGTAGGGCCAATTGCTTGGTACTTCTGAATTGGTTGAGATTTAGCAATGTGGTCTAGGAGAGACGGGAAGGGAAAAGAAGGGAAACAAGTAGTCCTGTTGTCCTGTACAAACCCAGCTTTTTTGTAGTTTTCTTAGATTTAAATACTTCTGTTGCGAAATTACTGGATTCTTAAGAATGACCAGATTTAGCAGCAGTAGGGGCTGAAAGTTGAAGGAACAGTAATGAGCTCTGGTCACAGATAGGGCAATGTAAAACCTGAGAAAAAAGCCTTCATTCTTTCTGCTCCCACTCATATTCCTAGGATGCCATGTTCTTTTTTAGCAATGTGAGGTCCTATTCCCTTCCCTAAAAGGCATTGTGTGAGTCAGAATGTTTCACGGGAAGAGATCCTGAGTTTGTAGGTGCAGAGATGAGCTGCTGGTTTTATACCTCAGCTCTGACTCATTGCACACTGCTTAAGACTTATCCAAGAATGCTGCAACCCTCAGGGTCTTGGGTTGCATCCTGGGCTGCATTAGACAAAGTGTTACTAGCAGAGGTGATCCTTCCCCTCTACTCAGCACTACTGAGGCTGCACCAGGAGTAGTGGGTCCAGTTCTGGGCTCCCCCGCATAAGAGAGAAGTGGTCATACTGGAATGAATCTGGAAAAGTCCACGGAAACGGTTAAGATTCTGGAGCTAAGAGTTAAGAGGCTAAGCAAGCTGAGACTTAATCTCAAGAGGAGGAGTCTCAGGGAGGTTATCTTATAGGTGTGTACGGATACCTGATAGGAAGGCATAAAAAAAGACACAACCAGGGTCTTCTTGGTGGTATTGAGTTGTTGCTCACCAGCCTAGGCTGCGGCTCCAAGAATACCATTGTATCTTGCACAGCCAGGAGGAAATGGCCCACCTTTTGTAGGCGGGGTCTATACCTTAGTTAATTAGTTCATTAGTTTCAATTCATGCCAGCTGTGTAATAACAGGATACCATATTGAGTGATAGGACAAGAAGCAGTGAATCAAAACATGGGATTTCTATTTAAGCTTAAAACCTGACTTTTTTGCTGTAATGCTGATCCAACACTGGAACATTGCCCAGAGCGGTTGTGGAGTCTCCATCCTTGGAGATATTCAAAACCAGATTGATCACAGTCCTGAGCAACCTGCTCCAGTTAACCTTGCTCCGAGCAGGAGGTTGCACTAGGCGATCTTCAGAGGTGTCCTCTGACCTTGACCATCCTGTGACTGTGGTTCTAGTTAACCTTGCTCTGAGGCCAGGAGGTGCTTGTGTTCAGAGCAGTGGGACGTAATTAGAAGGAGAGTGCTGCCACATGTGCCTTAAAATGCTGCCTTGTAGCTGGCTGGGGAGACTGAAAAAAACATTTCTCTGAAATAAGCCTGAAGCAGCTGGCTGTAGCCCAAAATGCCATAGATGTCCAAGCTTCCTTCCTGCCTAAGTTTCTTGGCTGCGGAGATGAGTGACTTTGGGTCAGAAATGTCAGCAGGCGTGTGAGGTACCGAGCTCCCTTTGCTTGCTCAGAGTACACTGCCTCTGACTAGTAATCCCTTTTTTGTCGTGGGCTAGCTGTGCCTCTGCCTAAGGTGCAAGTCTGTCTCTGCTGCTACCTCAAGGACTTTCTTCAATAAGCAGTAAGGGTGGGTTTCTGTGCAGAGAGTCTTGCTGCAGTAGGCTGAGGAGAGCAAGAGGACTGGGTCATGCTTGGTAATCTGGGGCTCTGTTAACATTTTGCTTGTTGCCCAACACCTTGGAGCACAGAGTAAGAAGAGACTTGGAAGGCCAAGCTTTGGTACAGCTGACACAGAAAGGTGGTTCAAGTCTTTGAAATGAGAGGTCTCAGGGTCTACAACCAGAGAGTATCAGGCATCTGTCTGGAGGCCAGAAAGGATTAGGGGGCTGAAGGAGGCTCCCTTCAATACAGAGATCTCATATACGATCAGAGGCTTTGCCCAGAGATGTGCTCAACTCTAGCACAGCTCAGGCTCCACATGGCAGAAACACTCCCTGCCATGGCATGGTTTGTGTGATGTGTCCAATCTGGTTTTCTCTGTGCATGTTGTGATGTTCCTGACTCGGGCTGTGGTGTTTCCGCAGCACTCAGCAATGGCCAAGAGCTCAGCTGTGGCAGCGGCAGAGACACCAGCACCAACCGTGCTAGAAGAGCTTCTGGAGATCACAGCTCAGAGCCTGGTGCGCACTGAAGTGGCCGAGCACTATGAGGTTATTCGGGAGCTGGGTAGGGGCAAGTATGGCCACGTGATGCTAGTGACCCACAGGCAGAGAGGTAAGGAACCAACAGCGCTCCAAGAGCTACTTACTGTGCCTTGCCTCCCCTCCACTCGCCAGGGTGCTGGGTGGGCTGGTGGCTTCTTGGGGCCAGGCACGAGGCATGCTGGGGGGTCCCCAAGGTGACCAGCAGGACAGGGTCCTCCCCAGCCAAGGATCATCCCATCGCACCCAGCCAGGGAGCAGGTGATGCCAGGGGGCAGCCCAGAACATCAGACAAAGTCATGGTGATGAGGCAGGTCCAAGGTCAAGCTGGTGAGTCAATCCACAAGTCAGGATCAATAGGGTTGGTGGCTAGGCACTGGCATGGATGCGATATAGCTGGAAACCAGCACCCCCACCACACAGCTCAGGCAGGAAGAGAAGCCCCATGTCTGTGCTTAAATGGTGCCCTCGGACCCATGGACAAAGGGTATGAGTGGAGGTCCTAGGTGCTGCTGGCCAAGGCTGTTAATTCCTATGAGTGCCTACAGAACCCTGACACTACTCTTCCCCAGCAGTCCCAGCTCAGGCTGATGGGCTTGCATAGCTCAAATTTCCCTTCCTCTGCCCAGTGCTCCTGTGCACGTACTGACTGGCTCAAAACTCACACCAGCAGCAGTGCCTGCTCCCACATCTGGTGTCCACAGGATATATCCGCACAAAGCGTGGTGCGGAGACCTCCCTGTGTCTGTGGGCACCTAGACCCATGGCTGCTCAGTGCCCTCTGTCTGGCTTTAATGTGAGTGACCTTCAGGGGAGTCTAACCACACTTCCTCATCCCCAGGAACTCCTATGGCTCTCAAGCTTCTGCCTAAAGCCAGCACCAAGCTGCACACCTTCCTGTATGAGTATTGCGTGGCACTCTCCCTCGCCACTCACCCTGCCATCATTGGCATTTTTGGATTTGCCTTCGAGTCCAGCCAGTACTATGGCTTCCTCTATGAACCAGCACTACACAAAGACCTCATCTCCATCATCAAGCCCCGGGTGAGTACTGCTACAAGGGTGTGGGGACAGGGACTGTGGCGTTTGGCCCCTGTGCCAGCTGGGAGGGTGTTAAAGGAGATGGGCTGCTGGTCTCTCATCTCTGGGGTCTACAGCGTTAAAGCAGCTTCAGGCTTGCAAGACCAGAAACGCAAAGGTCTTCCCCAGCGTAGAGCAGGCAGGTGAGGGTCCACCTGGTGGGGCTGCCAAGACGCCCTGCGTGTGCCGTACCACCTGTCTCTCTCCCTGGCAGGACGGGATCCCCGAGCCAGCCGCCAAGCAGTGTGCCAAGCAGCTGGTGAGCGCGCTGGAGTTCATCCACAGCCGGGGGCTGGTCTACCGCGATGTCAAACCCGAGAACGTGCTGCTTTTTGACCCGGAGTGCCGGCGCATCAAGCTCACCGACTTCGGGCTGACGCGGCCCAAGGGCACCAAGCTCAAGCTGGTGGCCGGGGTGATCCCCTACACTGCCCCCGAGCTGAGCAACACCACCAGCACCCAGGGAGTGCCCATCGACACCAGCTTGGACGCCTGGGCCTTCGGCGTGCTGCTCTTCTGCCTGCTGACCGGCTACTTCCCCTGGGAGCAGAGCCTGCCGGACGACCCTTTCTTTGAGGACTTCATGCTGTGGCAGGAGAAAGGCCTGGAGGAGGACCTGCCCCGCCACTGGAAGCGCCTGACGGCCGAGGCCGCCCTGATGCTGCGGAGCCTGCTGGCCCTGGACCCCGCCAAGCGTGGCCCTGTTGGTGGGGCGCTGCGCTACGTCGACTGCCCTTGGCGGCTGGAGGATGGGCGCAGTGAGGCAGCTGTGGTGAAGCCCTAGAGCCCGGTCCCCACGATGGAGGGCAGATGGGCCTTGCCCTGCCAGAGGCTTCAGGATCTGGGGCTCCACAGTGGCCCAGGTGCGAGATACCACGGTGACCCAGAGAGCATGTCCCCACCACCATGGAGCCAGGCTCCTGCCCCAGCTGATGGTCTTCACCCCATGGCCCAGTGCTACCCAGTGCCACCTCCTTGTGCTCCCTTCGGGCTTGAAAACATCTCCTTTCTCTTGGAAATGTCTGTCTGCATGTGAAGCACCCACTTGCTTCCTGGCCAGAGGGACTCCAGGGCATTTTCTAGGGGCTGCAGTACCTGCCTTGTCTCAAAATAGAGCAAAATATGTACTTTTGTGTTTCTGTATGTGGCTCTTTTTCCCTTGTAATAAAATTTTTGTGGGGGCCCGCGTGCTGTGGGAGAGCAGGGGCATGTTAGAGCCTACAGCCATCTCAGGACAACCTGTGTGAGGCAGGGGCCACCCCTGGATGCTGCCTGAAGCTCCACCAGGACCCTTGAAGGGTGGCTTCAGGCTGGTGGGGTGGAGATGCTGGGGAGCCCCCAGCATGCGGTGGTGGATGGTAGCTAGGGACTGATCATGGCATTGAGAAGGTGGTGGGAGCCGTGGAGGTGAGGTATTGGAGAAAGCCACAGGGAATCACAAGTTGTAACCTGCCAGCTACTGTGCATTTCTTCTCATTTCCTTGTGTTCAGGACCAGGTGACAGATGGGATCTTCTATGCAGAGGCTTGTTAGCAGCAGGAGTCTCAGTGTCAGCTTGCACAAGTGTCCCCCTCTAGTTCCCGTCACTCAGGAAAACAGCCTCCTGCAAACACTGACAGCCTTGCTGAAGCACGATTCACCCTTCTCCCACCTCGAGTCGCTTAGGTGCCAGTGGAAAGGTGAGCCCACTGCCACGGACATCCACGTGTAATTCAGCTGAGAAGGCAGTAGTGCTGTGAGGGTGGTCACCCTGGGCATCACTAGGAAAGGCTAACAGAGGAGCTGTAACCACAGGTCACATAAATTTATCTGTATGAATAATCCCAACAAAATTCCCCTAGTGATACCTCCCAGCAGTCCTACACCATTGCCTTGCTCTCATTCCTGATCCTCCTCCAGACTGACGGCTCCCTCCTCATAGAGCCAGCCCCTCTCTGTACAAGCCTCCATTACCACTTCTTCCCTGCTCCTGTCCTCCTGAATCTTTCAGTTCCAAGAGTATCCAGCGCCAGCTCAAGCACACCGCCTCCCCTGTACTGTCTTCAAGTCCTATGAGAATGTCCTTCATGCTCTTTTAGATGCCTGGTTACCCCTCTAGAAGACTTTCCTTCTCCCATCTCCAGTCACCACTTTAACCCTTCCCGAGCAACACCTCTCTCCTAATCCCCCAATGTCCTTCTAGGTGCACATTTTAATCCTGCAAGGAGGTAACAAGGGAAGAAATAGGGGTTAGAAGCTCTTCTAAATTGCTACCTCTTTCTAGTCCCCAGAATTATGCTGTTGGTAATCCCTTCCAGCTCTTAGCCTGATCCTATTGCTGGAAACATCCCCAGCTCATTTTCCATTCTCAGTGGCTTCATAACTACTAAAAATGCACTGTTCCAGCACCATACTTTTTAGCATCCTAGCCTTTCTTTCACCTCAGATCCTTTCCTGCACACACTCTCCTGTAGTTCCCCAACCTCCAGCTCTCTTTTTCCAAC